TATATATATATATATATATATATATATATATATATAATCTGTTTATAGCAAAGACTTCAACCTGTTGACCTCTTTGCCTCTGCCTTTTGGAAGCTAATATTACATATGTGAGGCACTGTAGCTGACAGAAGTATTCATGGCACGAAATTGTACACTGTGAGACATTTTTAAATTATATGATACTAGTGACTGAAGCCAGGATCAAACTCAGTAAGGCAAGAGCTAAACCACTGAGTAACACCCATAGGTCATGTTTTTTTTTCCAAATGCTCACTTACTGTCCATATAGGATTGGACTTTTAGAGTCTGTAGTAATATGGGACATTAGTTCATTTATCTCATTTATCCATACACATAGACTTAAGAATGTTGTCTGTGGCACAGAAGGATATTGTATATCATTTTCTCCTCATTTTATTAAATAAAACTTTTGAGAATTTAGGATGATGTTCTGCTTAGAGAAAGTAGATGCCTGAATATAAGGATCAGAAGATTTCTATCCCTCAACCCAGAGGCTATAGCATAGCACTGATCGTCACAGGGCACTGTGAAGATAACCTACTGACCTCATAATAGGCCCAAGTGCCAGACATCTCTGTGTAGGGCCCTAATACACCAGCACTAGCAGTAGGGGCACCGATTCCAGTGTTTGAGGGGTCACTCAGAGTGAAGGTTTGTCCATATGTCGGGAATCCGACAATGAGCTTCTCAGATGCGGCCCCATTTTCATTCCAGTAGGTCATGATGTAATCCTGCAGCAGGAGAAGGTTAATTATAGGCCCTAGGTAGCTGGTTACCTGTACTAGGTGATGCTAATTCTCTGTTCTAACTGCTCAAATCATGTTAATAATTTATTAATTTTCTTTCCAAAATACTTTACTGAAGTTATAGTTAATAAGGTACTGAAGAGTACTGAATACTCAAGATTTGTTTTATGTTTTGTGATGAACCTCTTACAGTTGAGACCATTTCTAGTCTGCATTTGCATCTCTGTAGGGTCTTACCACATTGAGGAAGGTGTTGATTCCACTGTCATTTATGGATTTGTAGAGAGGACTATTTCCCCCAGTGTAGCCATCCTGGGAGCCATGGAGATTGTAAGTCATGACTTGGATGTAGTCTAGGGAGCTGTGGATGAAGGATGTTGCTTAAGTAATTTCTAATGGCTATTTTTCACACCTATGCCAGAAAAATGCACTTCTTCAAAGCCTATGAACAAAGCCCCATGTCCATCAGAACATCCAAAGAATGAAGATCCTCTGCTTCCACTCCTACAGGAGTAAGGTAGAGTAAGGTAGAGCACTTACTGTGACAACTGAGGGATCTCATAGCCAGATTGGATGGTGGGGATAGCACCAGCTACTGTAGCAGTAAGCATCAGCCTGGGGCTATTTTTCTCAATTGCTTCCTGTTCAAAAGCTTCATGCATTTTCTACAAAATATTAAAGTACAGTAGAGTATATCACAAGTTCATTTCAGACACTCTAATAATATTAGTATATATTTTTAAAAAGCACGTTTACATTTCATTTTACCTTGCCCTATCATCATCTCAATAAAGTCAATAGAACAGCCATCTCATATTTATAGGATTTAGAAATTGTCGCTATGTAGCCGTCATCCAAAATCTAGGTCCCAGATGACTGAGAGCTCTGCCAACACCACGACATTCTGAAGCATAGCTTGCTGGAGTTCCTTATATTTAGATTTCAGTGATGGAGATAAATTGCTTCTGCTTTCTCATATCTGAAGTATGTCATAGTACCAACATTCCATCAAATGAAATGTAAAGTTATAAAAAAAAGGTGGTGGCGGGTAGGTGATAGGTACAGTACAGTGCCAGATGGTAATCTACTTGTACTTTCCGAGACACTAATCATACATGAAATACTGGAGTCAGCTCTTATAGTTACATTATTTGGGAGTGCCAGATCACCTTCCACCAGAATGCCCATGGAAATTGCCATGTGGTCAAGCAATTAGGAACTTTTAGTATATGATGAGGCATTATAAGATGGTTATTACCAACCAAAGAGCATTTATGAACTGGTCCTGGGCCCCCGGCATACATGTAGCAGATGCACCCCTTGGTCTTCATGTGGGTCTCCCAACAACTGGACCAGCAGCCTTCTCTGACATTGTTGCCTGCCTTTGTATACTTTTCCCCTAACTGGGCTGCCTTGTCTGGCTTTAGTGGGAGAGGACAGGTGTAGTCCTGCAGCGAGTTAAATGTGCAGGGCAGGTTGGTACTCATTTGGGGATTGCCTCCTTCTATGAGGAGAGGGAAAGGAAAAAAATTGGGGGAGGGATTGCAAGGGGGGCCCGGAAGGAGCAGGAGGCTGCGATCAGAATGAAAGGTGAATCAATAAATTAATGGAGAAAAAATATAAAAGAGACATAATATCAGATCAGATTACTTACCTGGTTAGAGAACAGAGTGCTTCAGCTGAGTCATTAGTTCAGTTAATGATGGGATTTTCCACTTATGTAGAAAATTACCTGATATAAGGAGATCCCGCATCCACCAGTCTCACATTTTTTTCTTGCCTACATACTTCCTTTAAGTGTGCTTTTATTTTACTGGTTTCCCATTTTGTATCTGATTTAAAATTAAAATTCTACTAATTAGAGAAAAAACAAGGGTGTTAGAGCTGTCTTCAAATATTACCTTCATGTATTGCAATGTTTCTGTTTTTATATTGTGCTGTTTTAGTGGGCAGATCTAAAATGTTTGCCTGAAGGCATGCTTCAATTTAAAAATAGAGATAGTCTGTAGAAGCCAGGAAACTAGAAAGGGGTAATTGGGGTTTAGGGAAGGAAGAAAGAGCTTAAGAGAGGCAGATGGCTGGAGAGAGAATAGTAGAAAACAGATAGTCTGGAAGGGGAAAGGGTGGTAGTGGGAAGATTTAAGTGTGGAGGGGGTGGAGGGGGTTGTTAGTGTAGAGTACAGTAGGGTAAGAGGAAGGATAAATAATTCTAAGGATGTCTGACCAAACCATATGAAAACCTACTAGTTTATAAGCTTCCTAAAATGAAAAGAACAAACAAACAAAACAAAACAAAAAATGAACACTTAATTGGAGTTACCTAGACAAGGGTTGTATAAGGCTCCTTCCGGAATCCACAGATTATTAAACAAATAGCTCAGTGCCAGATGTAGAATACCAGCCTACAAGTTGCTGGGCAAGGCTTCCCAGAGAACCTTAGGAAAATACAGGCTATTGCCATTGGTTACTGACTAGAACTTGATGGTGAGGTTCTATTGCTAAGAGCACCACATACTTTGATCATAGGATGTAGTAAAGCTAAGTTTGTACTTCCTTGCTGGCTACCAGAAGGCTGCTCGGGGACAAAAACCATCAAAAGTCTTACCCAGCTGTGACTCTTGCAAGCTACACTAACAACTGCCAGTTAGTGCAATATAGGCATGAATGTTATGGGGGTAATCAATGCTTTTCAAATTAAGCTTAAGTCCTGCACCACAGAGGGGAACTCATGCCAGGTATTCTAAGTCTAGCCAAGAATTTGTGGTTGAGGTCATAGGCCCGACCAATACAGTTGTCCTAAGGAAGATGGTATCCTATTGGCTCCTAAATAACTTATCCTTGTAGCCACAGATTAGTGTAACTCTCATCTCTCATTGGGGAAGCTTCTTTATGCAGCAGATGGCGGTTAATACAGACTTGAAACCATTGAAAATGCAGAGAATAATTGAGCATGGGCTGTTGTGACCTAAGTGAGATATCTTTGTCACACGCCACCTCCAAAGGGCTCAGAAAACATTGGAGAAAAGGTGTGGAAATATTGTAAGAGCCAGAGGATGGGAAAGATTACTGCAAAACAGTGCCTTCTGGCTATGAAAGGGTTGCTGCACCTATGAGCTCAGAACAGTTGTGGTTGTCTGCATACCACCAGCACAAGTTCAGTTCAGTTATTATTTCAGTATGGACAGTAAAGAGTTTCCTTTAGTTGGGGAGCTACTGGCTATGGTGGAAAAGAGACTCAGTTTTCCTCAGGTCCACGGTGGTTTGCCCATGCTCCAGCAGAAGACACCACGCACATGTAAATTAGAGCAGTCACCACTGGACTAAAAACCTGATCCTGCCTCGCATAAATATCTGTGGGGTTCTTTTGTATTCTGTACACTTTTATCATGGGACTTATTATAAGGTGTCTGAAGTTGTTGGATATGTTTCAGTCTTATATTTCATATTTTATGTTCTTTAAAGCCAATGATTTTTGCCTTATTTGCATTTTAAACGTAAACCCAGTATGTGCCACAGAGCATGTGTAAGTCTGGCAACAATAGACAGTCTCATATAATTGGTCCCTGCACTGAACACTGTAGTTAGATAGCATGATATATTCTTAGTTACTTATTTGTAGACTAAAGATCATAATGCTTATGGCACTTTTATCATAGAGCACTGAATATACCAAGATCCCTGTACACTCAACCAGACAGAATCCCAGCATAGAGTGGGGAGGTAGTCAAGAAATTCCACCCCTAGTGGAGGAATTATTGGTAATTGCTAGCTTCCAGGAGAAGTTAGCTTCCTTTAAGGGTGTGACCCTTGATAGATAGGACATGCTCCAGTGGATAGCTATATACCCAAGAGTATATAGGCAGCACTAATTGTCTGATTGGGACTGATATGTGTGTGTCTTTAAATTACACAAAGTTAGGTGGATATGGAATCAGGTTTGGATCTGGGAGAAGACTAGGGAGAGAATAAGATCATCAAAATACAATGTATGTTGTTCTCAAAAAATTAAAACATGTATGAAATGAGAATTTGAATCATTGTTCCTAAAAATGTGATATAAATATTTAGAATATAGATTGTTGAATGGGCACTTCATATCTATGGGAGGATCTCTACAGTGCTAAGAATCTATAATTCTAAACTCAGTTAAGCTTAGTCTTACTCTGTAACTATCCAGTTCTCCTTGGAAAGGACAGACTTGAGTCTTTTGAAGCTGAAAACACTTCCTGCTTTCCTCACCTGTACTAGGACAGTGAGGAGATGCTTGTCCTTTGCAGGGCTCCCATGAGACCCAGGGAACTGCCAGTCCAGGTTCAGCCCATCAAACCCATACTGGCGTAAAAAGTTGATGACTGAGTTAATGAAAATCTGGCGGTTGTGAGGAGTGGAGACCATGGCAGTGAACCTGAGGGAGACCAAAAGAAGACAGATAAAGTCTCTGTGATACTAAGATGTTGGAATAAAAACACTTTACAGCCCAAATTCTGCCTCTGAGCCCTCCACCAGCATGCCTTATCCTGTTGAACACTTGTTCCTGTTTTTGTCCCAGCCTCCTTTTGCAACTACTACTCTTGTCAGCCTAGAGCTCAACATTCCCTTTGTTTTGTTATCCCCAACTAAAACTATTCCCACATTGTCTTTGTTTCTTTGGATAGCCAGCCATCTTAACTTACCATGTTGTTTTCAAATTCCCTCCAAGTTCCTCTACACTCAAAGAATTATGAGTAGACTTTTATTTTACTTCTCCAGAAGACAAAGAAGTTGTGCAAGACCTTCTTGAGCTCTTATACGTTTACAACCTTGAAATACGTTAGGAAGAGGCGCTTTGCAAGCAGATAACTAATGCTCAAAGGGTGCTGTACTTGAACATCCACTCAAATTTTGAAACATGTGACACCATAGTAGCCTTTCCAACATGTTCTGCTTTAGGAGTAAAGGTCCTGTCAATTTAATTGAGTTAACAATCACTTCAACGCCTTCTCTGATGTTGTGAAGTACTACACAGAGGCTATGCTAGGCTAGCTTGCTTTTGATAGTAAATGAATAAATGGATTTCTAGAGAGAACTTACGGGGCAGGTCCAAAGTCCCAGCCTCCAACAGCCAGCAGAGTTTTCAGCTCAATGTTCCTTAAAAGCAAAAGATAACAAACAATTTAAAAAAAAAATCTATGAGTTCCCCTATTTAAAACAGCTTTGTTATGTAATACGTACCACACCACAGCACAATTTTCTCCCATTACTATAAACTTTCTGCTTTCACCATAATTGTGGTTCAAGCCCTGGGGGAATATCTGAAGTTGTGGTTTGTTTGTTTGTTTGTTTGGGCAGTGACTGATAGTAATCGTGGTACCTGTATCTTAAAATTGTAATTAGCTCATATTATCTTCCATTGGATAGAAAGATAAATATTGTTTGAACATTATTATTTTCCAAGCATCCTTCACAACTAGTATAAATTTGTTCACCTAGAATTACACACATTCTGGATAATATTGAGTATGACTATCAAATCCCATAAGAATTAGTCATATGGATTATAAGAGGACATTTTTTAAAAATAATATATGTATATTTATATTTATAATTATTATTATTGATAATTATTACCTTTACTATTTTTTCTTTATTAATTACACTTTATTCACTTTGTATCCCTCCTGTGGTTCTCTCCCTCCTCCAGTCCCAATCTCCCCCTTCCTCCACCCTCTGTATGCATGCCCCTCCCCAAGTCCACTGATAGGGGAGGACTTCTTTTCCTTCCTTCTGATCCTAGTCAATTAGGTCTCATCAGGAGTAGCTGATGTCTTCTTCTGTGGCCTGGTAATGCTGTTTTCCCCTCAGGGGGAGGTAATTAAAGAGCAGGTCAATCAGTTCATGTCAGAGACAGTCCTTGTTCCTATTACAATGGAACCCACTTGGATACTGAACTGCCATGTGCTACATCTGTTCAGGGGCTGGAGAGATGGCTCAGAGGTTAAGAGCACTGACTGTTCTTCCAAAGATCAGTTCAATTCCCAGCAACCACGTGGTGGCTCACAACTATCTGTAATAATATCTGGTGCCCCCTTCTGGCGTGAGAGGACATTTAAATTCTCTGTTTATTGCACCTTTCTTAAAGATTCTGATTCTGTGTGCTGGCATAGGTACTGCATTCTTTTTTCAAGTGGTCCATGTAGTTTTGCTGCAAGAACTGTATGAGCCATACTTGGCATAGAAGCCTGGTAAAAAAGTTTATTTTTAGTTTGGAATCAGCATATTTTTATCCAGCTGTACTCATGATAGTGCCATTACTGTTGTGAGAAATCGCCTCAGTCTTTTTTATTGCTGATGTGGTTGAACTGAACAAATCTGTTAATTACTAGCTATGAAGTCTTATTTTGTTTTAACACAAAGGAGACCTCTATTATAATATATCAAATCCTTCAATTCTTTGGCTCAGTGATATCTAAATTCTAATCTCCTCTACTTCTTGCTTCCTGAGGTTGTTTGGAGCTTCTTATCTCTACAAACTCTCCAAAGAAGACAAAGAAGAAGCATAGCCTTACTTTTCACATGTTAACCACAGCAGTGATGTGACAGAGTTTTTAGATCCTTGCTACTTAGCACATATCTTCTAGAACAGAAGGGTCAGCATCATGTGTCAGAGGCTTACTAGAACTATACCATCATGACCACTAGCAGAAGAACAAAGTGGTTGGACTGACGTCTCACACCATATCAAAAAATCAACTCAGAGTAGACTAGAGAGAAAAAGACGAGACTTGAAATTATAAATCTACTAGAAAAAAATATAAGGAGAGGTTTTCAACAGAGATCTGGTCAGTGATTTTTAAAATATGGTCCCCAAAGCATGGACAACAAATACAAAAATAAGCTGTGAAATGCTTCTGAAGATGAAAAAAATAACAATAAAAACATGAATTCAGGAGTTAAAAAAGAAAAAAGACATAATGAAATTTGCAGGCAAATGGATAGAAACAACAACAAAGAAATCACCCTGAGTGAGATATCCCAGACTCAGAAAGACAAAATGATGTATGCATTTATTTATATGTGGATATTAGATGGGAGGTTAATGATAAGCAAGATATGATAGAATCAAACTCAGATCCTCAATCCATAGAACCAGAGGATAGTTATAGAGCAAGGGCCTTGAGAAAATTAATAGACCTCAGTAGGAGAGAGAAATAGAATAGATAGCTACAGATGGATGGGGGCCTGGAATGGGAGGATCAAGTGGGGAGGGGAGAGGGGAAGGGGATTCTGGAAGGAAAAAAGGGGGAAACAGCTAAAATTAAGGGAAATTTTGATGGGTGGTATGGAAAGCTCATATGGCAGAAATTTTGAAAAATGTATCCATATATGAAGGCAATTTAAATGAAATCACCAAATAGTGGGGCTGGCCAGGGTAGGGTGGCAGGGGTGGGGTGGTCAGAGTTGGGGGCCAGAAAACAGAGTCCCAACTGGCCATCTGTTGTCACTAAACAAAGTGTCCAGTTTTGTAACCTAGATTGGGTTACATTGAATTGAGTTAATGTCTAGAGGAACCCCAGGAGAATTCTCAAACAACCAAGGCTATTGCCAAACTATAATGCTGATAGGAAAGCCCTATTGCTGAAGCCAAGAACTACACAGCTAATTGAACAGAAAGAAGTCTAACTGGTGCTTACATAGATCCTTCACCCACTATGTTCCAATATCTTTGAAATAGAAGCAATAATCTGCATGCTCTCAAAAGAGAAATGTGATCTGCACACGCTCAAAAGAAAAATGTAAACACCAAGCCAGCCGTAAAACCTTTATCTACAATGGTGCATTATTTGCAAAATATGCCAGGGAAATTTTGTCACAAAGAATATGGGAGTGACCAATAACTGATGTGACTTCGGGCCCACTCCATGAGAGAGAACTCAATCCTGACTCTGCTTGGGTGACCAAGAACTTAAGAGTAGATAGCCCAGGGACCTAGGGCAAAACCAAATAATACTGGTCTAAATAAGGGGGTGAAGGTGGGGAGGAAGGTGGTGATAAAATGACTCCTAATATTCTGCTAATACTAGTAGATTAGTGCCTTGTTCAGAGAAGCTTCCTCTTATAGTAGCAGATGGGAAAAAATACAAAGACCCACAGCCAGACATTGTGCAGAGAGTGAGAGACCTTGGAACACTCAGCCCTAAATGGGACGTATCCATCAGAGTTCAGGGAACATCCCGAGGAAGAGGAAGGAGAAAGAGTGTAAGAGCCAGAGGGGAGGGAGGACACCAAGAAAACAAGACCCTCTAAATCAACATAAGCTAATATGAACGCAAAGAGGCTGAAGAAACACGTGCAGGGCCTGCCCGGCTCTGCACCCAGGTCTTCTGTTAATGTATTAGGGCTTTTGGTTTAGTGTTTTTATGGGGTCCCTGAATGTGCTAACTAGTGGGGGCTCTGATTCTCATGCCTTCTCTTGGGGCTTTTTCTTCTGTTAGTTTGTCCTGTCTAACTTCAATATGATAGTTTTTGTTTTATCTTATTTTATATTGTTATATTAAAAATGAATGAATGAATGAATGAATGAAAATTAGCCACCAGGGCAAAGGTTAACAAATGAACTGTCACTTAGACCTGCTGGGGGAGCAAAAAGCAAAAAATCAGTTTTTTCAAACAGAATGACACTGAGCATATCAACCATTCCAACGCAGACCTCATGTTCAATAAACCAATATATTACGAACTCCACAGTTTTTGTTTGTTTGTTTTACTCTGTGTGTGTTTGTGTGTGTGCTATTATTTTGTTACACTTTGATTTTGGGGGGAGGTTGTTGTATTAGGTTTTTGTTTTTTTTTGAGAAAGAACTTAAAGTTGGGTGGGTGGGGAGGGGGAGAGGATATGGAAGGACTTGGGGAAGAGAAGTATATGATTAAAATATATTTAAATTTAAAAATCATTTTGCCTGATAAAAAGCAATGAAAAAGAAAAGGCTACAGGCACTCATATGAAAAGCCATGTAACTAATCTGTGACATTTTTAACATCAATAATTTTATATAACAGAAGTTTCCATGAATCAAATTGGAAATGCTTACATACTTGCTGGGACATATGGCCACATCCTTTATCTTTTTTTTTTTTCCTTCTTTTTCTTTTTCCATTTTGGTTTTTTTGAGACAGAATTTTTCTGTGTAGGCTTGGCTGTCCTGGACTTGCTTTGTAAATCAGACTAGTCTCAAATTCACAGAGATCAAGCTGCCTCTGCCCACCTGAGTGCTGGGATTACAAGCGTGTGCCTGGCTCACTATCTACTTTTATCTTGTGCAAAAATCTGAGAAAACAAAGTTTAAATATATAATCAATTAGATTTTCTACCCCATATTTTCTTTCAGATGTTGACTCTTAAGTGTGTGTGTGTGTGTGTCTGTGTGTGTGTATGTTAAACATAGGAAGGCAACTGAGGAGATGGATAAATGATTAAAGCGATTGTAGCAAAAGTGTGAGGACTAGAGTTTGGATCCCTAGAGCCCATAAATGCCACACAGTTATAGTGGCTTGCCTGTAGTTCCAGCCTCAGAAGGCAGACAGGGATCCACAGAACAAGCTAGCTAGAGAGGGCAGGCATCCTAGTAAGCTCTGGGTATGACTGAGAAACCCTGCCTCAGCCTTGGCTCTCCTTATTCATGGGTAGCCACATGGATAGCCATACACTTGTGCCAAATATAAAAGCATGCATATAAGGACACATTTAAAAACCACACACATGTGAAAATAGAAAAAAATAGAAAGAGGACTGTGTGATGATGTGAAAGGATGTTAAGGGACAGAGAAAAAAGAAAGAACATAATAAAATACATATGACATGAAAGTAGAAGGGGATTGCTTAGCAGGAGTAAAGGATCAGTGTGAGAGAGAGGCAAGGGAAATGGGAGAGGGAAGGAGGAAGGAGATAAATACACACACACACGCACACACACATATAGTATTATGACATATGAAAATGCCATAATGAAACATGTTACTTTGATGATAGCTTCAAAATAGAGAAAATAAGTGAAAAACCCATGAGCTTTAGAATGGAGAAATATTTGCTGTCCATACATCTGATAAGAAGTTAGAAGGGAGAAAATATTTGCAGTCCATACATCTGATAAGAAGTTAGTATTGCAAAATTAGGAATCAGAAAGACTAAGTAGCAAGAGAAATACTCATTTAAAAATGAAAAAAAAAAGTCTGTTTAGATTTTTCTCAAATAAGGCTAAAGTCTAACAGGTGTATGAAAAAAAATCTTAACACCCCTACTCATCAGAACTATTGAAATTATAACCACATTGATTTATTACCTAACAACTGTTAGAATGGTTATCATAAAAGATGGAAGATTAATATTCTCAAGGATGTATAAAGAAATTACCGAAATACTACTGGTTTAAGTGTAAATAATTACAGCGCTAGACAGAACACTGTGGAGATTCCTCGCAAAACAGTAACAAATAGCACATGATTCACCAACACTGCTATCCAAAGGAAATCAGTCTTTTGAAGATACAGCATTGTAACATTGAATAATAACATCTAAGATATGAATACCATTAAGTGTCCACTAATGGACAAATTGATCAAAATATGTACTATATATATATGATTTAAATTATTATTTGGATAGAAAAGGAATGAAACATCATTTACAATAGTATTTGTGAATTCGAAGGGCATAATAAGTGGAATAGGAAAGACTATTCCACTTTCCTATTAGAGAAAGACTAATAGCACATGGTAAGACTTATAAGTGCAATCAAAATTATTTGAACACATAGGAAACAAAAAACATAACAGCGGTTATCAAGATTGCATTGCAAAAAATAGGTTGGAACTCCAGTTCCGAGGATCCAATACTGTCTTTTGTCATCAGATGTGGAAATGGGCACCGAATGCAGTGTATAGACATATGCGCAGGCAAAATGCTCATATACTTAACAATTTACATTCATCTCTGAGTGTTTTATTTTATTTTATTTGTTTATTTATTTTTTGCTGGAGGGGTCCCATGGAAATCCCTAAACAACCTAGGCTGATTTTAACAAAGAGTATTCTCTCTCTGAAAACTGACAGCGGGGCCCCATTGCCAAAGACAGCTCCACACATTGAATGTAGAGAGGTTGAGCTGGTGCCTGCATATAGCCTTTACCTTTATGATGGAGTCTCTTTGGATCAAGAAGGTACTCTGTAGGCTATGGAAAGAGAAATTGGACACCAATCCAACCACAAAACCGTCAGCCTACAATCTGTCCTGCCTGCAAGATATGTTTGGGGCATTGTTGGTGCAAAACTTGTGGGAATGACAACCAGTGTTTGGCTTAACTTGAGACCCACACCATGAGGGTGAACCCATGTGCTATACTGCCTGGATGGGCAGGCACTGGAGACTGGATAACACAGAAGCCTAAGATAGAACCAAACATGGCTGGCCAAAACAAAATGAAACAAAATACCAAAAGAAGAACCAAAAACAGAAGCAACAGCAATAGAAGAAGAAGAAGAAGAAGAGGAAGAAGAAGAAGAAGAGGAAGAAGAAGAAGAAGAAGAAGAAGAAGAAGAAGAAGAAGAAGAAGAAGAAGAAGCAGCAGCAGCAGCAGCAGCAGCAGCAGCAGCAGCAGAAGAAGAAGAAGAAGAAGAAGAAGAAGAAAAGATCAGTGAAATGATTCTTAATGATATTCTGCTCTTCTGCTATACTCATAGGATGTGCCTTATCCAGTCATCACAGAGGTTTCCTCTGGCAGCAAATTGGAGTGGTGCAGAGACTCATCACCAGATGTCATGTAGAGAGAGAGTCTAAATTAGAGGTTTTCATAGGGTCCCTCCCTAGAAGATTGAGGAACCATGCAGAAGGGGGGGAATTATAGGTGTCAGAAGGGATGAAAGACAGTGGGAGAACATAGCCAGCTGAATCAACTAAGCAGGGTTCGCTTGGGCTCACAGAGACTGAAGAGGCAAGCACAGGGCCTGCACGGATCTGCACCAGGTCCTCTGTGTTACGGTATGGTGTTTTTGTGGGACTCCTAATAGTGGGAATGGGTATACCTCTGACTCTTCTGCCTGCCCTTTTCTTTTCATCTTACTGGGTTGCCTTGTCCAGCCTTAGTATGAGGACTTCTGCCTTGTCTTACTGTATTTTTTTTTGTCCTGTTAAACTGTCATCTCTTACATGCATGTTATTTTCTGAAGAGGAAAAAGAAGGGGGGATGGATCTGGGGGAGAGGGAAGATGTGGGGGAGCTGGGAAGAGTGGAGGGAGGGAAACTGTGGGCAAGATATATTGTTTAAGAGAAGACTATTTTTGAAAAAATCTAAGAATATTTTAATAAAAAAAATTAGTGATACAGGAAGAAAAAGTTCAACAGACCTTTCTGTAAAGAACATTCACCATGAAATAGTTAAGTGTGTGGAATAAAAATATGCCAAGGAGGTCATGATTCATTCTAAAATTAAAAACTAATGTGTGTAGTAAGTATAAGTAATTGATGTCAATAAAAATCTGATGATATTGGCTGGGTCCTCATCCCAAACCCATGGATTCTGAGCTACGTGTTAAGCACGAATATGTGACAACTATTGACCAAAGAGACACCAAACCAGGCAGCTCTGCCATTCTCTGACCTGTTTTTTAGAGCATTTAAGGCTTGGTAGTCAGTCAAGTCACTCATGCGTTTCATGGTGATCCTGTTGTTCCGCATACCAGCAAAGGCATAGATGAGGTGAGTACACAGGCAAGGGTCAATATCAGAGGGACTGAAACTTCCCAGTTTCGGCCTGTTCTGGGCCACGTTATTATAATAGCACATCAGTTGGTAGGCAGAACCTGTGGGAGGTGAATAAAAACAGTAGCCTGATGTAGAGGGCAGTGGACTCTGCTGACAATTTGGCCCTGCCTCTTTCCCTTGTGGTGCCCCAGCACAGTACCTGTTACCTAGGAGTAGGTGACTGGTGCTAACACTCTTGAACATGGGTCCAGACATTGCTACTTACGCCTCAGGCACTGACTTGAGGTTGCTCATTATAATGATGACATTTATTTTTGGAGCTTTGGTAAGTTTAGAAGACTAGTTAGAAACCATGCCACCATTCTTGGGAAGCTCCACAGGACGTGGTTTATTAATGCTCTGTGGGCACAGCTCAGAGGACAGCACCAAGAGCGGAGCTGAAAACAGTCTACCCCCAATGGGGAAAACTCACCTCATTGGTCTAATCTCTTGGTAATTTTTTTTGAATAAAGTAAAAATGAGTATAATTTGAAAATTACAAATAAGTTCATTAGCAATAACTCTTGGATATTTGAGACTTATGGTGGGGAAAAGGTTTTGTAAACAATAAAAGATGAAGTCATCACATACCCAGTTGTGAATTCAGCAGAACTGCCAAACCTAGAGAAAGAGAACAAACATTTACTGTGAACTAGATGCCTGAATCCTTGAAGATCAAACTTCATGGCTGTGACGGCCATCGCCATTAGTCATAGATTAGAGCAGCCCAAGTGAAACTTATAGCCATTTCAAGGGCTGCTATTTTCAATGAATATACCTTTCAATCTATTCACATCTTTAGTAGAAATTGTCAGTGGCTGTCCATGTTCACCTTCTGTGTCCTAATTGTTACTAACTATAAAATCTATTAGCTATGAAACTAGTATTGTCTGAAATTACTCCAGTTTACTTTACTTGGTGATCACCCTTTATACTGTGTCTCACCTCCCAGAGTTATGATGAGCCTAGTTTTTCAACAGTCAAGCCATCTGCTAAAACAGAGAACAGTGTTCCTAGACATCTGAGGTTTTTTTCCTTGAAGCACCCTTGAAAGAGACCTTGCTAAAGGAACAAAGACATGCAGTTCTAGGTACCATTCCTTGGTTTCAACACAGCAGGTTTTGAGACAGCATGTCTCATGAATCAGCTCAGACTAACCATGAACTAGAGAACCTTCTCCTGTGTTTCTTGATTACTGAGATGGTAGGTCTGAACCATCATGTAACCTGAATGTTTCTGAATCTTTAAATGTTGAGCTTCAGTCTTCATCCAAGTAAGTTTCTGAAGCTTAATGAAGTTTACAAAGCAGAGCTAGAGTAGTAAGATTTCAATGACTTGGCTCAAAACAACTACTGAATCAATCTCTTTGAGTGGTTGTCTAGAAGTAATACTCTTATTTCATCAATGCAGCAGAACTATAAATAAGTAAGTAGTAATTCTGAAAACAGTAGAGCAAATACAACTTGGATAGCTGCAACTCAGTCTCTACTGATTTTCTTCTCTGCAAAAGCTAGTTCCAGGGTAGAAGCAAATTAACATAATGCCAATTTAAGGCAGGTGATATGAAGATGAGTGGAGAAAATAAATGGCTGGACAAACAGGAACCAGCAGAAAAGTGTTGTTAAAAATAAGAGTTTTTTTAGCCAGGCAGTGGTGGCGCACACCTGTAATCCCAGCACTCAGGAGGCAGAGGCAGGTGGATCTCTGTGTGTTTGAGGCCAGCCTGGTCTACAGAGTGATTCCTGGATGGCCAACACTACACAGAGAAATCTTGTCTTGAACAGAAAGAGAGAGAACTGGCTATGTATATGTCAACAGTGAAGTCAGAAAAGCCATCACATCCCACAAGATTAGGAGAACAAGATAGGTTGAATGACGGAAGAAACTTTGAAATGAAAGAGTCAAGGTAATGCTTAGAGCTGTAGTGTGACCATCCCTCATGGTTGCCAGATCCTGAGGACCAAAGAAGCCAGGCAGCACTGAGTCTCTACGTCTTCTTACCAACTCACCTGTGAGAAGAATGAGCTTGGTCATGATGCCCTTGTACTGTTTCAGCAGAGCCTCTGTTGGCTTTTTAAAGCATTTAAGATCCTGGTGATCCCAAGGTTTGCCAGGTGGGAAGTGTTTACTAGAATGGGTGTGTGACTAATGAGTGAGCCACCAGCTTTCCTCCTGATTTGACTCAGTTCCTTTAGTATCTCACTGCCACAACCTTTCCTGTTCTGTGTAGCAACACAGTGACATCTGCCTAACAGGTGGGGTGGAGACATTCATTGCAGGGAGTACTCATTCCCTTAACTTCTTGTTTTGGCAGTTCCCAAACACATAGCACCTGCTCAGGTACTGCAGTTAAGTTTTATTGTACTTATTTCATTCCTGATGTGAAATAATTTTCCTACAGAAAACAAATAAAGCACTTCAAACGTATTAGCTGTTTTAAAATGATCTTTGTCTTGGAATTATTTGCATTTAATTCTTGTGGTCAGCATTAATGGACCTTCACTCTCTAGGGACTATGATTTGAATATTCTGCCTGCACTTGTTCTTTGGAATAACTTCAATTAATAGCAATAACATAAATTTGTGTAAGAATGTTTGGCCTCCAAAATGTTCCTTCTTTGGCTTCTAAGAACCCTGATGGTGTTCTGCAGCATAAACTGACATGCACAAAAGATTTCCAGTTGCAAATACACAAAGATAATGGTATTTAAATATCCCCTTTACTAAAATTCTTGTTATCTGATTATTTTTAAAGTTTTTTAAAATTAAAATTAATTCCTCCTACTCTTCCCAAACACTGTCTGCTACCATGATTTTATATGAGATTTCTGCTTTAGTAGAAATGGTGCTTATTACACCCACATAATTTGCATGCCTCGGCTCAAGCTGTTATGACCTCTCTCGTCTTATTTTCTACCCCAAACACAGACTTCAAAGTCCTATGTTGAAGAGATATATAGAGAGTGGGCAACCTTGCCTTGTTCCTGATTTCAGTGGGGCTGATTTAAGTTTCTGTTTAGGAAATCAATCTGGTGCTTCTCAGAAAATTAGGAATAGTGCTACCTCAAGATCCAGGTACACCATTCCTCGGCATATATTCAAAATATGCTCAAGTATACAACAAGGACATTTGCTCAACCATGTTCATAGCAGCTTTATTTGTAATAGCCAGAATCTGTAAACAACTCAGATGTCCCTCAACTAAGGAATGGATACAGAAATTGTGGTATATTTACACAATATAATACTGCAATTAAAAACAAGGAAATCATGAAATTTTCAGGCAAATGATGGGAACTAGAAAAGATTATCCTGAGTGAGGTATCCCAGAAGCAGAAAGACACAAATGGTATATACTCACTTATAAGTGGATATTAGACACATAATATAGGATAAACATATTAAAATCTGTACACCTAAAGAAGTTAAGTGAGAAGGAGGACCTTGGGTAAGATGGTCAATCTTCATTTTGAAAGGCAAACATGATGGACATTGGAAGAGGGAGAAAACAGGGGACAAGACAGGAACCTACCACAGAGGGACTCTGAAAGACTTTACCCAGCAGGGTATCGAAGCAGATTCTGAGACTCTTACCCAAATTTTGGGCAGAATACACGGAATCTTATGAAAGAAGGGGGAGATAGAAATACCTGGAGGGGACAGGAGCTCCACAAGGAGAGCAACAGAACCAAAAAAATCTATGCCCAGCGGTCTTTTCTGAGACTGAGATTCCAAGCAAGGACCATGCATGGAGATAACCTAGAACCCCTGCACAGATGTAGCCCATGGCAGCTCAGTCTCCAAGTGGGTTCTCTAGTAGGGGAACAGGGAGTGTCTCTGACATGAACTTAGTGGCGGGCTCTTTGATCACCTCCCCTTGGGTGGGGGAACAACTTACCAGGCCACAGAGGAAGACAATGCAGCTAGCCCTGATGAGACCTGATAGGCTAGGTTCAGATGGAAGGGAAGGAGGACCTCCACTATCAGTGGCCTTAGGGAGAGGCTTGGAAGGAGAAGGAGGAGGAAAGGTGGGACTGGGAGGGGATGAGTGAGGGTGCTACAGCTTGGATACAAAGTGAATAAATTGTAATAAAAATAAATAAATAGATAAATAAATAAAAACTTAAACTTAAAAATTTATCTAAAAACATTGAAAACCCATAAAGAAAAGATGCTAGTGTCAAAAGGAAGACAACCTTCTAAATATTTATATACTGTTCTATATCCCTTAAAAATGATGCAAATCATATTTAGCATATAATTATTGTCATTATATATTAAGTAAAACAAACAATCAAAAACACCTGATTAGAAAATAGTACCTTAGAGTAAGTACTTATTTATTTTTTAAAAATCCCCCAATTTATCTCCATCTCCCATATGCTTAAATTTCATTTGCTTTAATCTAAGTCCCTTTCTCCTGTACTTTTAAGATGTCAGAATGTTAGAATTTTGTTTTGAAACTTTTCATATTAGCTGGAGAGGTAGCCTGTTTGATAGAGTGCTTGCTGAACATGTGGGGACCTTTGGTAGGAAGAGATGACATTAAATTTAGGCCTGTCCTTCCAGCACTGTGCAGAGGAGAAGGATCAGTAGTTCAGGGTTGTTCTTAGCCACATAGTTACTTGGAGACCATCCTGTAATACCTGAGACATTGTCTCAAAACACACAAACAAACAAATAAACAAAAACAAAACAATGACCAACGAATGGAAACATATATGCAAACCTTTCTCCACCTATTTTTCCATTAATTTGTTTTCATTACTGTCTTTACTAGCCTTGTATCATTTTACTCTGAGGAATTAGAGTATAATCAGTTAGTGAGGTAGAAAAGAATCAGTGTTTGCCTGTCTAACTGCCTGCTTGCTTTTAGGGATGGGTAGGAGGACATTGCTTATAAGATCTGGAACTATCATTACAGACAAAGAAATTACACTAGATCCTGTCAAACATACAAGCACAGAATTTATTGCAGCCTATCTGTTACCCTCATGGCATTTAAGAGTGCACAGCGGGGGACAAACTGCAAAGACAGCACATTAAGTGAATTGCAGGTGAGTGGTACATTCCAAAGATTCAGTTTAGGTCATCACAATGTGATTCCAAGAAAAACTACTTTTTGTTGTTATTGTTTCTGATTTCTTTTTAAACTTTTATTAATTACACTTTATTCATTTTGTATCCCCCCATAAACGCCTCCTTCCTCCCCTCCAAATCCCACCTTCCCTCCCCTTCTTCACTCATGCCCCTCCCCAAGTCCACTGATAGGGGAGGTCCCCCTCTCCTTCCTTCTGATCTTAGTATATCAGATCTCATCAGGAGTGACTGCATTGTCATCTTCTGTGGCCTGGTAAGGCTGTTACCCCCTCAGGAAGAGGTGATCAAAGAGCAGGCCAACCAGTTTATGTCAGAGGCAGTCCCTCTTCCCCTTACTATGGAACCCACTTGGACACTGAACTGCCATGGGCTACATCTCTTCAGGGTTTCTAGGTTATCTCCATGCATGGTACTTGGTTGGAGTATGAGTCTCTGGAAAGACCCCTGTGTTCAAATTTTCTGCTTCTGTTGCTCTCCTTGTGGAGTTCCTGTCCTCTCCAGACTTTACTATTTCCCACTTCTTTCATAAGATTCCATGCACTCTGCCCAACAGTTGGCCTTAAATCTCAGCATCTGCTTTGATAGTCTGCAGGGCAGAGCCTTTCAGAGGCCCTCTATGGCAGATTCCTAACGTGTTTCCTGTTTTCTTCTTTTTCTGATGTCCATCCTCTTTGCCATTTAGGATGGGGATTGAGCATTTTAGTCAGGGTCCTCCCTCTTGATTAGTTTCTTTAGATGTACAGATTTTAGTAGGTTTATCCTATATTATATGTCTATATGAGTGAGTATATACTGTGTGTGTCTTCTGTTCTGGGATAGCTCATTCAGGATGATCCTTTCCAGTTCCTACCATTTACCTGTAAATTTCATGATTTCCTTATTTTTCATTGCTGAGTACTATTCCATTGTGTAGATATACCACAATTTCTGCATCCATTCTTCAGTTGAGGGGCATCTGGGCTGTTTCCAGCTTCTGGCTATTATGAATAAAGCTGCTACAAACATGGTTGAGTAAACGTCCATATTGTGTACTTGAGTCTCTTTTGGATATATGCCTAGGAGTAGTATGGCTGGATCTTGAGGAAGCACTATTCCTACTTGTCTGAGGAAGCGCCAGATTGATTTCCAGAGTGGTTATACAAGTTTACATTCCCAGTAGCAGTGGAGGAAGCTTCCCCTTTCTCCCTCACCTCTCCAGCATGTGTTGTCACTTGAGTTTTTGATCTTGGCCATTGTGATGGGTGTAAGGTGAAATCTCAGGGTCGTTTTGATTTGCATTTCCCTAATGGCTAATGACATTGAGCATTTCTTTACGTGTTTCTCTGCCATTCGATATTCCTCTATCGAGAATTCGCTGTTTAGCCCTGTTCCCCATTTTTTAATTGGATTACTTGGTTTGTTGCTTTTCAGCTTCTTTAGAAAATTGCAAATAGATCCATACTTATTACCCTGCACAAAACTAAAGTCCAAGAAGATCAAAGACCTCAACATAAAACCAGACACATTAAATCAGTTAGAAGAAAAACTGGGGAAGACCCTAGAACTCATTGATACAGGAGACAACTTCCTGAATAGAACATCAAAAGAACAGGTTCTAAGAGCAACAATCAATAAATGGAACCTCACAAAACTGAAAAGCTCCTGTAAAGCAAAGGACACTGTCATCAAAACAAAATGAATGCCTACTGATTGGGAAAGAATCTTTACCAACCCTTGTTTCCTATTCTTGAATTTAATTCTAACTTTTGTTTCATTCTGTAATTTATTTTTTTCTAAATTTAAACATGCAATATAGGGACATTCAATTTGATAAAAGCAACATGATTCAATCTAAAACTACAAATTTAACTTCAACACTGATAGTGGGCTGGTTTCATTATGGCACTCTCAGCGACAGATCATGCAAAAAAAAAAAAAAAGCTAAATAGTGAAAC